CAACATCTATATGTAACAAAAAATAATTTTTATTATATTTATTATTTACTTTTTTAATCTAAAATTTAATTTAGTTAATGATTTAAAAGAATAAAAAAATTAAATTTGAACAAAATTTAGATAGAGTTTTAATATCAGACAATTAATTTTATTTTTTCATGCAACATGCTTGAATTATCATTTATTAATAAATTACTCGTATTACTGTATGTAATATTATCATTCACATTATAAACAACAATATCACTATAATGATATGATACTTGAATTGCCATTTATTAATAAATTACTCGTATCACTGTATGTAATATTGTCATTCACATTATGAATGATAATATCACTGTAATAATATGATACTTTAATGAATAATAATTCCTATTTTGTTGCATATTGTGATTATTATTAAATTACCTTTGAAATAAAAATCTATCTCGTTCAAGATGTATTATGGGTTTTTTTTTTATTTTTTATATACAATGTAATGACTTAAAATTTTCTTGTAATTAATTGTTTTTTATATATACAATGTAATAACTTAAAATTTTCTTGTAATTAATTGTTTTAGCTTTGGATGCAGCAATTTCATACTTTTGCTATGTCTTTTAGTATTATTATTATTCTCATGTAAAATAAGGGATAATTAGATACTTTAATATGTATAAAATATAATTTAAATAAATTACACATGTTGACAAGTGAGTGTTATCTGTCTCTTTCTAGTAGCACACGTGACACCGTAAACACTCAAAACGTCGGATTCTAGAATGACACTTGATGTACCCCGTTGCCTTCATTATCGTGTAAGGGCACATGTCACTAGAAGATTCACGGTTTTTTCCCCTCTTTATTTCCTCTTTCTCTTCCTGAAAAAAAAGGTTGGCCATTGAAAAAAAAAATCTAGTTATTTAACTGTTGAATCAAATCAAGTATTCATTTTTATTTTATTACAGTGTATTTTATCTTGAATTATTTGTTGAGTTATTTTTTAAAATTTTATCCATTGACATTTGATTTTTATATCAAATTTGTTCAATTTTTTTTTATTAGTATTTTTATTTTTTATCTTTTTTTAATTGAAATTATTTTTTAATTTCATTATTTATGATTTGATTTTATTTTTTTTGTATTAAATCTGGTCATCATTCTTTTTAAATCAATAATTTTTTTCTTTCTGATTCATTTTTTTGAGTAAATTTATTTTTTTTATTTTATTCTTGATTATTTTGGTTGGTTAAGAATTTGATATTAATATTTTTTTTTTGGTTTACATTTTATGTTGTAATTCAGCCATATGTTCCACGTTACAAGTTTTAAAGATTAAATTGGATTGGCTCTAAGTGTTTTTAAATTCTTTTTATTGTTTTAATTTTATTACTCATTATCGGGTTCATTGAAAATTGGCATGCGTTATTTTTCTAACTTTTCTTTATATGGAGTTATCTTGATATTATATTATAACTCATTAATTTAGCAAGCTCACTAGGTTTGACTTTGATATTTTTTTTCAATGCTTTTCATTATTTTTCTCAACTTCGCTCTTTAAAATTAAGTTGGTTTGATAATTGAGTTTTATGATTTCAGTCGACCTGTTTTTTATGGAATTATCTCGCTCCCAAGACGAGGTTATAGATTTTGTTTGATATTTGCTCAAGCCATATAAGATAAAAAATTATTATGTCTAGATCTTTTGAATGATGTTTTTTTTTAAAGAATTTACTTATATGCCGGCTTTGAGTAAATTTCATTTTTGTTTTTATAATTATTTTCTTTTCAATTTTATTGTTGTTATTTTATTTGTTGGGAATTGAATTTTTTTTTCATTTTTTTATGAAATTATTTATTTTCATTTTTTTTGTTAACAAATACAATCATTACGATGTTTAAAAAATATCACAATGATATATTTTTATAATATTAGAAAGCATTCATCATTTATATTGGTTTAAATATCATCGCTTGTTGTTTTTGATATCTTATTTTTCTTTTATGTACTAGAAAAGAAAGTAAATAAATATTCTTATGTCAATTAAATATCTTTGAACATGAAAATAACATGCATATTTCTGAAGGGGAAAGGGGGGGGTTTCCTTGCTTATGAGAGTTAATAAGATAAATGCTTAAGTGGCCAGGAAAGAGAAATGAAGTTTTTATTCGAAGGGATCGAATTGAAAACTTCTTGAGAAAATTGACTGACTAGAATATTTACCATGCTGGTTAAAGTTGGAGGGCAATCTCTCTCTCTCGCTCTCGCTCTCTCTCTCTTCCCGGTCTTTTGAAGCCATGATCACTACGGACCACCGGATCCCTTGTCGAGAACAAATATAGAAACCAGAGGCAGTGCATGTTTGATGAAGATTTTAGCATTTGGTTAAGTATCTACCATCATACATCCCATTTTAGGATCTCTATCAAAACCAATACTGATGCTTGGATAATGAAAATGAACAGGAGATGAGGCCGAGACAGTTAGAATGTGTAGATTCAATCGCCATATCTCAGACAAGGAAAGTGAATTGCTCCTATCTCCTGTAAGCTAACATTATCTCCTGTCGTCATGAAGGATAATACTTACCCCTTCTAGTTGGCTGCTCGTTTTCTCGACCTTCTCTGCTGTATTGTCTTCATTATGCATGCAAGCAAGCACAGATTCCTTCTCGACATGACAGCATCTTCCATAGGCATTTACACCACAATCTCACTATCGCTAATTACTAGACAGGGACGTGATATAACGCGGGCCTACCCAGATTTTTCCAGTTTGAAAATAAATGCTAAGTAGATGAAAGTATATCTTTTTTGAAAAAATTACTGACTAGATTGTGTTTAATAAAATTAACTAATTCAAATGAATAGAAAAATGCAACCACAAAAAATAAAATGAAAATAAAACTGATAAAATAGAAAAGCCCAAAATAATCTGACTCAATTTCATCCAGTTAGCAAGCTAAATATACGTGATTTGGAAGTACCTATAAAAGCAAATGAAATAAACTTATAAAATTTAATTATAAAAAAATAATAATAAAATATCTTAATCAACCTGATCAGCTAACCATATAAATATGGACACAAAATTAAGATAATTTTATAAAAAGATATTGAAAAAGAATGAAGATAATTTTTTAATAAATTAAATATTAAAAAATAAAATTAAATAAAATATCAAGTGATTGGTTTCGAGTTAACAGCACAGTACGTATCAAATTTTTTTTTAAATAATATTTATATTATTGAAAACATAAAAATGATTGGTTTCGAGTTAACTGCATGTATCAAATTTTTTTTTTAATAATATTTATATTATTGAAAACATAAAATAGCCCCTCGTTATTATTGAAAATAATAACTAATATAAAAGGATGAATAAATCCTTCAATGTAAGTTGAGCAATTTTAGCATGTAAAAACGCTATAGTCTTTACAATATATGTACTTTTTAAACGTAAAAAAAAATCTAATTATCTGTGTGCAATTTTTTAAAACATTTTGGTTTTTAGGGTGGTATGACTATTATACTGTGTTTTTAAAAGGTAAAAAGAATGTGGTCGCGCGGTTAATCTTGTAATGATGTTGTTTGAAGGGCATAGTAGTAATTAACCCAGTAAACATGTATTTAAATGCACAGTGGATTCTCGTTGCATTTGTTTTTTTTAACAGAAATTTACCACCCTAGCGAGGTAAAAATGGGACCCCGATAGGAGGTAAACACGGACCCTCACGGGGAAAGTACTTTGATTTTTATCATGTTAAAAAGTATGCTGAGAAGTATAGTTATAATTATTTTTTAAAGTTTTTTTTAATTTTTTAAAATTATTTTTAATATCATGGATTAAAATAATTTTAAAATATAAAAACAAACAGTAAAACATGAAGGATTTGAAAGAGCCCTGCAAACTACCGACACCCCTAGAAAGGACCAGTGCAATGGGTGTATGAGCCACTGGCGAAAATCTGACTTCTATAGACGCATTTAATGTCTTTACTTTCTACTGCGATACAGCAATTAAATTTCAAAATATGCAAGGTTAGTTCCTGACATGTGTATTTCAAAAGCCTTCCTCGCTCCTACTAAAAACATTTTTACTTCGGTAGCCTGCCTCCAATCCTAGGTACCTATATCTCGTACAACTGCCCCTCCTATACGGTCCCACGTTTAAGAGATTCTTTTTTCATTTGATCAATGCAATCATGCTAAAATGACAAAAAGAGATCGACGGCTGATATTGCTTCTTCCAGAGTCGTGCAGGAGAGAACAAGAACACATCTACCATCTGTGAATCATGCAGGAGAGACAGGCGAGCTCTAAGTAGTTCCAGTTATGGTTCTGCTAGCATTCTAACGATGTTGTAGGCTACACTTTCTTACATGGATCTTTCAATAGGATCGCGCACCTTGTTAAAGAAAAACCATCCGTTAAGTTTTGTTTTTTGACTTGTCATCGAGCTTTAATTGATTTTTTTTTTTTATATAATCTGAATAGTAGTAATTCAGGATTTGAACTTCGATGGTTAAAAGGACAAACCCTTGACAGCAAAGCTAGTCTCTCTGGTTTTTGGTTTGGTTGAACTAAAAAAAAAACAAGGGATATTGAGTTAAATCATATACGATTGATTGTCTTCTGCCAATTCCTAAGTCGGCCATGCAATCTCCTAGTTCAATGCCAAAAAACCTTGTTTCTTTGGGTTTGGGTTCCCCTCGGATTAGTCATGTGAATTTCAATTAGCTATATTTTTTTATTTTAGAGACTTTAGAAATGAGATGACGGATTTTTATCAATATTTTTTATTCAAAAATATATTAAAATATTATTTTTATTTTTAAAAAATTATTTTTTAATAAGTTATCAAAACAAGATAAAAGATAAAAAAAATACAGGATAGCTAGACCATGTGGCTAGCTTTCGTTGACCGGAGAAGTAAATATAACCAGCAGGTGTCAGTCACCGTGGTAAATTCATTATTTAACCATTTCCAAGATGGATATATAGACAGCTAAACTTCTCTCTGTGCATCGAACATATAGAGATAGAGAGAGATAGAGAGAGCTGTAGATCTCATCAAAGCCTTTTGCCTTCTGCCAGATATCTTTTCGGGGCCATCGATGGTATAGAGCAATAAAAAAGAGGGGAAGAGCAAAAGAGAGAGAGAAATACAGACTTGGGGTTCTATTCATATTATACTATCAATCTATAAATCTCACTACTTTGTCTCATCGCCTTTATTTTGTTTTTTGCATTTGATCCCATGCCGCTGTTGTATTTCTGAATTCAATCCTGCACTCTTTTTGTCTTCAGTGTCAGCCTTTGATCCTTCAAAACAAAACTCCTTCTGTTATCTTCTTCCTCATCTCTCTATAAAGATAAAAGAAAGGTGGGGATTTCTTTGATTCTTGCTCTGGCCCCTAACTGAAAAATGGGTACCGGTTGGAGAAGAGCTTTTTGCACAACAATTCCTAGAGACCGAGAAACCACAATCTCTGATAAGCAACAAACCACAAGTCCAAGTCCAAGTCCTAGCCCCAGAAGGTGTGCAAAGCTAGGATTTTTCTCCAGTTCAAGCAACCCCAGTACGCCTCGTTTGCTGTCTCAGAATCCCAACCTGCGTTGCCGCACAAATACTGTAGACTCTCCTTCAACAAACGAGAGCCCCGCCTTCCATTGCAAAACCGCACCGAAAATAACCACGGCTACTAAAAACCCCAAATCACTACTGAGCTTAAATCCATCTTCTCCTAGATCTCCTCTTAAATTGTCTCTCTTCAAGAATAGCTTCAAATTCAGAGTAAGATTTCTCCATTTCCAGCTATGAAAAAAGATTCTTATTTCTCTCTCTTAGTTTTATCTTTAATCTCAGGAAGGTTGATTTTCGGTGTGATTGAGATCTCATTGCTACTTATCATAAAGAGATTTGACTTTTTTGACAATTGATGGGTTTTGTTTTATTGTTGTTGCAGAGTAGCTGCGGAATCTGCTTGAATAGCGTAAAAAGAGGTCAAGGCACAGCAATTTACACAGCAGAGTGTGCACATGCCTTTCACTTCCCTTGCATAGCTTCCTATGTTCGTAAGCATGGCAGTCTTGTGTGCCCTGTCTGCAACTCTACCTGGAAAGATGTTCCTTTACTTGCCATCCACAAAAACCTCCACCAAAATGACAATAATTTAGAAGACCCCAGCACCAACACCAACACCAAAGTAGAAGAGAAAAAGGTTGTCATTGTAGAATCATCACCAAGAGCCATAAAAACCACAACCACACCCACCCTGCAACAACCACAACCAAGAACACCAAAATATTCCGATTCAAGATCGTATGATGACGATGAACCATTATTATCTCCAACTGCCGGTGCCAGATTCAACCCAATTCCTGAAGCTGACGAAAGTGTGGATGAAAATGATGACGGTGTTGAAGAATTTCAAGGATTCTTCCCCACCCATTCTACTTCAGTCGTCAAATCGGATGAAGTTTCAATCAATGACCGAGATTTTTCGAGGAATGTTCAGGTCAGATTATTGCCAGAAGTAGCTGTCATATCTGTAGGCCGCGGGTATGAAACTTATGCAGTGGCTTTGAGAGTGAAAGCTCCACCACCATTGCCATCGCTGACCACACGCAACAGTTCAAATTCAACAGCATCTCTTTTAGACCCTTCCCGCAGAGCACCCATTGATTTGATAACGGTTCTTGATGTTAGTGCTAGCATGAGCGGGGCTAAATTGCAAATGCTGAAACGCGCCATGCGTCTGGTTATTTCTTCTCTTGGCTCGGCTGATCGACTTTCTATTGTGGCCTTTTCGAGTAGTCCTAAAAGGCTATTGCCTTTGAAGAGAATGACTCCTAATGGACAGCGGTCAGCTCGGCGCATTATTGACCGACTTGTTTGTGGTCAAGGCAGTAGTGTTGGTGAAGCTTTGAGGAAAGCGACTAAGGTGCTTGAAGACAGGAGGGAGAGAAATCCTGTGGCCAGCATCATGTTATTATCAGACGGTCAGGACGAGAGGGTATCGGATAATAACTCAAATCATAGGCACACGTCTATCCACAAGTCGTCTACCCGCTTTGCACATATCGAGATCCCGGTTCATTCATTTGGGTTTGGTCACAGCGGTGGCAACAGCCACGAGCCCGCCGAGGATGCCTTTGCTAAATGTGTTGGTGGTTTATTGAGTGTTGTGGTGCAGGATTTAAGAATTCAGCTTGGATTCGCCTCCAGCTCCGCTCCTGCTGAAATTGTAGCGGTTTATCCTTGCAATTCTAGACCAAATGTGCTCGGTTCGGGTTCCGTTCGGCTTGGCGATTTGTACGCCGAAGAAGAGAGAGAGCTGTTAGTGGAGCTGAGAGTTCCACAATCGGCTGTTGGGTCCCACCATGTGATGTCTGCTCGATGCCTTTACAAAGATCCCGCCACGCAAGAGGTCGTGTATGACCGTGATCAGTCTCTACTAGTCCCACGGCCCCACGCTCTCCCGTCAACAGGCCCTAAGATCCAACATCTGAGTAATTTGTTTATCACAACTCGAGCCTTGGCCGAGGCTAGGCGGCTCGTGGAGCATAATGAGTTTACAAGTGCACATCACTTGCTCGTATCATCTCGAGCTTTGATATTGCAATCTAGTTTAATATCAGCTGACGAGTATGTTAGGAGGTTGGAGGCTGAATTGGCAGAGGTGCAATGGCGGAAGCAGCATCATCAATTGCAGCAGCATCATCAATTGCAGCAGCAGCAGCAGCAGCAGCAGCAAATGATGATGCAACGGCGGAGAGAAATGGTTGCGATGGATGAGAATGGCGAGCCACTTACCCCCACTTCAGCTTGGAGGGCGGCTGAGAAGCTGGCTAAAGTAGCCACGATGAAAAAGTCGTTGAATAGAGTCAGTGACTTGCACGGCTTTGAAAATGCTAGATTTTAACGGGTGGAAAAAATAGGGTGAAATAATTGATTTTGTTAAAAATTCATGGGAGAAAAATATTAGAGAACTTTGGATTTGGAAGCATAGTTTTATTTAAAAGGGGGGACAAGCTGGTAGCAGACGGCGCGGTCTTTTCTGCAGGGGGGGTGATAACATTAGAGAGAGATCGATACCCCACAGGAATTGATTGGGTGGGTGCTCAAAGCTTGTCTTTTGTTTTGTGCTTTTTTTTCCTTTTCAAAACTCAATCCACAGCTCTTGTTGAGAGAGAATTTGTATTGTATTTGTAGGAGATCATCATCATCATCTCTTCAACAAAAAGGTGTAAATGTTAGGATAATGGAGCTTTTTATATTTTGTTTTTTGTTTATGGTTGTTGTTACTGGTTAACAATCATATCGTTTTAGGACTTTAACGAATAAGTGGGCTAGTTTTAGGACCGTGTCATGTGTATGTGGAATCAATGGTAATAGGACAGAATCATTGAGGTCGCTGGGGCTTGAAATGATGATTGAATCATTTTGTTGTTATGATTCCTTGCCGTTTTTCTTTGGTTTTTTTAAGGGAAAAAAAAGAAGAGGAAAGTGCCTTGGACCCCTTTGAGAGGGGGGTGATATTGATGGGCTTATGTCCCCCATGTTATGTTTTGCTTTTATATATTTTTCTGTTCCAGGCATCATTTTGGCCCGACCTCTTCTGTGTAATTTGAACAATTTCTTGATTTCAAATGCAGTTGATCTTGTATCCCACTACGTTTTGATATATGTTTATGGTCTAATTAGCATCATTAGAGATGTTAGCACGAATTTCCTCAGAGTTATGATTTAATCTGACAACCAGTATCCTTATTTTACCGCGTTTCTGTCATAGCCTCGCTCTTGCCCATCAATCAATGTGTAGCTGTCTGTGGAATGTTGCATCCCTTATTCTAAATTTGGTTGTCTTTAGATCAGTTCTTTAGGACAACTTTCAGTCATTTCTTTGTAGTGTTGCATCACTCTCTCCCTCCTAGTCCATGGCTGCATCAAAATAAGGACTCGTGGTCTGGTCCAAGTCTCAGGAAACGGCCCACCATCATCAATCAGAATTTGACTTCTCCGACGGTGAAGGCGAGCAAGCTAGCAAAACTAGATCAATACGAGGGGGCAAAGTAGTGTTCTTCTCTAGCACATTAATCTGTTCTCTCTCTCTCTCTCTCGATATATATATATATATATAAAAGAAATTCAATTTATAAATATGTTGACTAATGTAAATCGAAGTAAATACCAATCCTCTGATCTTAAAACGTTCTATGATCTGTTTTCCAGTGCTTGTAAATTAATTACTCTATTCAAATACAATTTCTCGTAATCTATTGAGTTGGAGGAGTGGTCATCCCACTTGTTAGGGACTGGACCTTCCTAAAGCCTGCTTTGATGTACGAGCCTCACTTAAAATGTGACTTCTCCATAGCAAATAACACAGCTATCAATGCAAAGCAATGGTTTCTCCTAGTTTGTGACTAAAAAGCACAATGGGATCTTGAGTTTGTTTGATTCCATAGCTAGAGAGGGACGTGTGTGTGAATTTTTATATGCTGATAGGGGCAGGAATTCCTCATGAAATGGGCGTACATCCTAGTGTTTACAAAAGATGCACCACATTCTTTCTGATTTTAGAGCCCCTTTAACCTTTTGACGTACGCAGGATCATTGCACTTTTAAACTTTCTGGGAAAAGAAAGAGAAGGATCGCCGGTAAAGATTTCAATGTTCTTTTCTTTTCCTCCTCTTATTGCAATCCTCTCAATCCTAGGTACATGATCTTGGAAGAAAATATCTACATGTACCATTGCCATGGTAAAGATTAGCTGAAGGAAAACGTAGCTTCTATATTGGCGTTGGTTTCTACCGCACACCACACACTTTGGATTCTTCAGGCAGATGTATAGATGGCTTGTCCTAGCAGTGAAAAAGGTAGCGATGGATAAATTCACGCGAAGTTACTTTAAAAAACTATCACCGACAACGACAACGATAAGGACAACGAAGGCATTTTATGTAAAACAATTTTTGGAAATAATCTGCAAGCAACGTACACGTGTCATACCATAATTTTTACCCTCTCGAAGTTGTAAAACAATCCAATGTAATGCATGTAGACTTGTTACTGGCATTGAAAATTGAACACTATGTAAGAAAAAAATAATCTCATTTTACATGTGTAAGATTATGATAAATGAATAAATATGTGATAATTTATCTTGATTACTCTTATGAGGAGGTTTGCAATCCTACCGGTCACGACAGCTAATTCATGTAATTCATGTATAAATAAATATTCAAGGATTAGAGATCATGAAAGACAAAATTATCATGATTATTTTTCTTTTGCATTTTTATTATTTTCCTTTCCCATCATACATTTCGTTCTTCCCTCATTTTACTAACTTTAACTTAAATATCACATGAGCTTACAAAATTTATTTTATAGGAGATTCATTATAACTAAAACTGACTTATTAGTACTTTACTATAATATAAAATACTATTTATTATATATAAATTCATTATAGATTGCAATATATTTCACTATAAATGTTTGTAATTATAAATTGTAACAACTTTTATTATGAAATACACTCTTTAACAAAGATGTGGTTGAGTTGAGGGGAGGAACGCTAGCTTGGAGGCAAGCCCCCTAACATTTGGTTTGCTTGGCCTTGGCGCTTGGGGCAAATCAGGGTGACAAGCGCATCGTCACCTGACACTTGGTTTGTCTATCCTTCAACGTTAGGGTAGACCAAAAGAGCATGTGGCGTTTTGGCTGCCACGCTCACAAGCTGCCCAAACACCATATGGCGATTGATTTCTTTTTTTTTAGGTGCAGTCTAAGCACCACATGACGCTTGAGCTCCCTATATTTTTAATATAATTGTATTAAAAAGTTCTTTGTTTTAGTATAATTAATGTTTAGAGTATTAATGGTAAAACTATTATTGTTTGTTTTGTTAATATTATTTTTTTAATATAATTAATTTTAAAATTATATTATTTCTTAATATGTTTTTTTTAATATAATTGATAGTTGGCGTTAAAAATATTATCATTTTTTTAGTCTAATTAATAGTATTGATTTCAAAACTTTTATTATTTGTTCTATTAATGTTATTTTTTAGTATAATTAATAGTATTCATATATAAACTATTATTATATTTGGTGTTATAAATAATATTATTTTTATAATAATTCATATTATTGTTACTAAAAATATTATTATTTGTATTATAAACATTATTATTTTCATTAAAATTTATAAGAGTGTAAATATTATTATTATAATGATTAAAAAATTGCTATTACTATGAAAAAAATCATGTTAGGACACATGACGCTTGAGTTCCCTCTTAAGAGCAGACAACCTAAGCATCACGTGACGCTTGACATTCCTCTACACTACAATCTAAGTACTAGGTGGCGTTGTGACTTGGACACTACCATGCATAGCCCAAGGCTTTGGCATTGGTCGCGGGCAAACCAAACACCACACGGCGCTTGGGCAGCAACTCCTAGGACGGCAACAGCGCCACCTAGTATTTCATCTGCTTCTTCTTTGGTGCAACCTAAGCGCCACATGGGGCTTAGGTTGCTTACAATTTTAGTATAGTCACAAGTATTAGTATTAAAGATATTATTATTAGTTTTTTTAATTTTTTTGTTTAATTAATTTTTTGGAGTATTAATAGTAAAATTATTATTGTTTGTTTTGTTGATATTATTTTTTAGTAAAATTAATATTAAAAGATATTATATATTTTTTGGTATAATTGATAGTATTTGCATTAAAAATATTATTATTTTTTTAATCTAATTAATAATGTTCATCTTAAAACTATTATTATTTGTTCTCTTAATATTATTTTTTTGGAATAATTAATAGTATTAGTCTTTGAAATATTATTGTATTTGGTGTTATATATAATATTATTTTTATAATAATTCATATTATTGCTACTAAAAATATTATTATTTGTATTATAAATATTATTATTTCCATTAAAATTTATAAGAGTATAAATATTATTATCTTTACTAATATATTTTAAAAAATTATTATTACTATTAAAAATCATGTTGGGATACGTGACGCTTAGGTTCTCTCTTGAGGGAAGATAGCTCAAGCGCCATGTGACGCTTAGCATGCTTGCTTTGCATTGTAATCTAAGCATCAGGTGGGGCTTTGATGTGGGAGCTATCATGTACAACCCAAGGCTAGCCTTTGGCCTAACAGGACATAACCCAAAATAGCATTGGGTGCTAACTATGGGTATACCAAACACTACATGGTGTTTGGGCGTTTTCACCCGAGACCGTAGCATAATGCTACCTGGTGCTTACTCTGCTTCCTCTTGGGTATAACCTAAACTCCATATAGAGCTTAAGTTGCTACACTTTTAGTATAGTTACAATTATTTGTATTAAAAATATTATTATTAATTTTTTAATATTTTTTTTCAATATAATTAATTTTTAGAGTATTAATAGTAAAAATATTTTTTTTTTGTTTATATTTTTTTGTATAATTAATATTAAAAGAATTATTATATTTTTCCTTAATATATTTTTTTGGTATAATTGATAGTATTGGTGTTAAAAATATTATTATTTTTTAATCTAATTAATAGTGTTGATGTCAAAAATATTATTATTTGTTCTCTTAATATTATTTTTTTGGTACAATTAATATTAAAATTATTATTATATTTTTAGTATAACTAATAGTATTAATCTCAAAAGCATTATTATTTTTGTAGTTATAAATAATATTATTTTTTTATAATAATTAATAATATTAATACTAGAAATATTATGATTTATATTATAAATATTATTATTTTCAATAAAATTTATATATTTTATTGTAATTAATATTATTAATAAAATAATTGATGAATTTGAAAGAAAATATTATATCATCTACTAATTTTACTAAATATATTGTAATAATAATTTTATTAAATTACATTTAATTTTACTTTTACTTTTATTTATAAATTACATATAAATTTTTAATTGCAGGATCTAAAAATAAACTTTGATCCTGCCATGTACTCTCAAATAACCTTGGATTTTGCATAGCCTAGGCCAAGACTAACTCAAGACTAGACTTGAGCTAGATTGTTTAGTATCTTAAATAACTTTGGATCCTGACCATTGCAGAACTCAAATATGCTTTCGATCTAGTTTGATAGACCTTAAATAAACTTAGATTCTACTCCTACTTTTTTAAGAAATTAAAAATAAGCTCGTCGCAACGTAGCGCTAGCGACCTTGCTAGTTACATTATTTAAAACCAACTTAAGTTTTGTGTTTCCTTTCTTGATACATTTCAATCAAACAATCAATCAAAAACTTATATTCTTTTGTAGTTCTTGTTTTTCAAGCATTTTTTTATTTGTCTCGGCTCGTATCTTATACTGGGATTCTTATACTATGAAAGCAAAGGAGATGTTGAAATACGTGAAGGGGGATTTAACTCCATTTGCAAG